CCAAAATAAGTTTCACATCAGAGATATCCCAAAATCGTGAAATAAAAATATGAGGAGGTGCAGGATCACGCCTTCGCCTTCCCGCGGTCCTCTAAAGTACCTGAAACAAAATCCAATACTGTAAGCCTAAAGCTTAGTGAGTTCCCCCCAAAATACCGACACAATACAACTAGCACAAACATAAAAACATCATACTATGGGTCCAGTCAACCATCGGGTTGTAATACCCCATGCCTCTCAAGCACCACTGACTCATAAGATCTAACTCTCAAATCTCAGCTCCTGACTCGAATTCTTACACCTAACATGTGACCATTTTTATCGAAACCCCGAAATACCCAAAATACCCTCAAAGTCAAACTTGGTCAACCATGGTCAAAGTCAAAGTCAAAGTCAAAGTCAACGGTCAAGGTTAACAGTCCATGTTGACCTAACTCGCCAAGTGTACCTAGCAACTCGTCGAGTTCCCTCCGTTCTCAGAAAGTCGGGAAAACCCTAGCCAACTCATCGAGTTGGATGGACAACCCGACGAGTTTTCCCCCTGTTAAACACGTTCGGATGATTCTTCGATTCCAGGGACTCTAAGGCTCAGATCTGAACTCTCAACGTGTCTTAAAGGATAAAGTTTCCAACTTTATCCTTTGGAACTACCTCAAATTCTTAAAAGCTCTTAACCAAGGCTTGAAAACTCAAAGGCTTAATCCATTAAGCCCAAAACCGTAGAGATCCGGAACCCATCCTTTCCAGAAGAGGTCCTCACCTCAAAGACGTCCCAAAGACTGATGCTTTATAGACATGCATGTCCAATGCATGTCTTGAAGCCAAAATGGGCCAAAAAGGGAAAATATGCCCTAAAATCCATGCATGGCATCAAAGCTTGACAAAAACCCAGATCTAACCCATTGTGAGGTCATCTTGCCCTGGAGATTCATAAAGTTACAAACTTTATGAAGTTCATGCATGGAACAACCAAGAATAAAGAGGAAAGAGGGCAAAACTTAAGATCTAGTTACACATATAGATAAAAATCAAATCTTGAATACTCACGACAGTCCACAAGAGTGCCAAGCTAGAGACTAAAGGCTTTGCTAGCTAGATCCTTGCTTCCTTCACACAATCTCCTCCTTCTTTGCTCCAAAATGCCACATTAACTCACAATATGAGAGGAAATGATGATTAGGGCTCACAAGGTCGATATTAGGGTTTGGGAGGCTAATAAGAGATCATCCTCAAAGACTTAAGGAGGTTATATAGGGTGCAAACTCTAAAATTTAGGGTTTCTCATCCAGCCGCCAACTTGTCACACCCCCAAACCAGAATGGCGGAAACATTCGGGGGCGGATGACTTCACGTAGTATCATAACAGTTGAATATTCGTAAAGAAAGTAAACACAACCATCATAAATATAATAAAAAGTTACATTGTTGCATATAATACATGTTTCAAAAGAATATTACAAATATGATGATTTAAAATGTTTTGATATCGGACGCCTTAGCGTTCCTTCTCCAAAAGCTGATGGTTACCTGTATTACTGATTCCCTGAGAAATACAAGTAGTTTTGAAAAAAGTGTCAACAATTAAGTTGGTGAGTTCATAAGCGTTTTTGTTCTGAAAGTTGTATGTCTTTTGGTAAAAATAATTGAACGTGTTTTCCAGAAAATCCAATATTTTCCATGTATGTGTGGTAGTTTGAAAAAGTTCCAAAGACTGAAATACTATAGTATCTTTCATGCTAAAATGGTGAAAGTGGATTTTTATGCATATATAATTGTAATTACTGAATGCATTTAAGGGTCTCGTAAACCGAAGATATTTTGATACACCATGTGAGTTTTATAACCATGCTATTGACCCAGACTGCCTGTAACAACGTTCTTCAGGCGTTGCAGTGTTATGACATTTGTCACCCCAGACCTGCCGGTCTAACTGTAGCTAACAGTTTAGGTGCGGGATTGTCAATCCCGTATAGATCTATACACAAGTATCACGCTCTCCCTCCAAGAGATTATGGTTTATAATACAGGACTTGAAATGCATACTCGAGAGTACGTTGAAGATGAGTGTCTCACAAAACATAGTATCAAAAGATTTACGGAACGAAAAGTTCATGTGAAAGTATTTCCTTTTACAGTGTTTATGTAAATATGCAATGAATAACTTGCAACTATACCCATTATAGTTTTTCGAAAGTGTGTTCCATTTGATGATAAAAACTTGGTGTAATATCAACTTTGCATGTGAAGTGTAACGTTGGTATTAATGTTGTTTAACATTCATCAACAAAATCTAGATAAAGTATTTGAAAACATATCTAACGACGTGTATTTTAAGTGTGAGTTTATCTCGTGTTTCACTAGTATTCCCCCCCCCCCCCCTAAAACATGAAAAAGACGTGAAAATGTAGGGGTATGAACTCACCTGAAAGGTGTGGTGATTTGAAGAAAACGCGATTTCCCGGGCGGCACTTCGACCGGAAAGTGGTGAATTTCTCGGGAATCTCGGAGCTTCAGACCTTCGTCGGGACTCGGGTACGTAACTGGGGTGTCAGGGTCGTCTCGGGGTGCTAACCGGAGAGTAGAAGTGAGAGAGAAGAGTGAAATGAGCAAGGAAAGTCGGAACCCTCGCATCTTATTTATAGGGTGAACTTTCGGGACTCACGTCGTGAGCATGGGATGGCTCACGTCGTGAGTTTGGCCCGTAGACGCGACGACTGGTGGTCTAGCTCTGGCACACATCAGTCATAGACTCACGTTGTGAGTCTCTTGCTCACGTCGTGAGTCTTCGGATAAGGTTGGTGTGCGTGCCCCGAACTTCAGAAATTCATATCTCTCGCATACGAGCTCCGATTTCGACGTTCTTTATATCCACGTGTAGGTGAGATTGTGCTCTACAACTTTCGTTTAGACCCCGTCGTCTAATTTTGACTTAAGTTTTTAATATTATATTTTTAGTAGGCCGGGACAAGAAAAATCCATTAAAAATTCATATCTTCTACATCTGACGTCCGTTTTCGTCTGTCTTTTTACCATTGTACTACTATCGTTGAGACCTTCAATTCCCGTTTAGGTTGTGTCGGCTAAAAATCGCTCGATCTCTATTTTGAGTTTTTAGCTGTCTACTGTTATATCTGAAACTTAGAAAAATCATAAATTCCTCATACGAAGTCAGATTTGGGCGTTCTTTTTATGCACGTTTATGATTTAACATAATTTACGACTTTCGTTTAGATGCCTAAGGCTAAAAAGTATTTTATTGAAATTTCACTTTTTACACCTGGCAGCGTTTTACCGGTTTTGTCGTGAATCTTCGATTAGTCATAACTTTTTCGTTATAACTCGGTTTTGAGTGTTCTTTATATATTTGGAAACCTTGACAGTATATCTAACATTTTATGCAACCCAATCGAGACTTTAGAATACTTCATTTTTGACGCTGTTTTTATTGATTTCCAAAATAGATTTAACATTTGACTTTGAACATTACATGGATTTGAAATATCGGGTTGTCACACAACTCGTCGAGTTCTTCCTTACCAACTCGTCGAGTTGGTCCAAACAGTTTGCGGCCCATAAGCTTTCTACACGTCGAGTTGAGGCCATCAACTCGACGAGTTTCAAGGGGATTTTGCCTTTCAAGAAATAAATCATATACATGGAAGTCGGGATCTTACAGTCATCTTTTAAAAGTGTTCGATACCGAATGCAATAGTCTATATTGCCTAAAGGAGTAATGACATTGTTAAAGTACTAGGATTTTGTGAACACTACTGCAATGCTGGGCACATGACTCGATTTCAAATCCAAAATAGAGGTGATATCAAAACCTAAAATGAAAACAGAGGTGATTTCAAATTGATTTCAATTCCAGCGATTTCCATCTTTAACATAAAATAACATAAAATGCATGTAATTCCATTTAAATTTATTAAATCATGTAATTCCATTTTGAATTACTAACCTCAAATGCATTTCAATTTCAATTCAAAAACAGAGAAGGGAAGGAGAATTTCAAAACCGAAATCAGAGAAGGCATAGCAATGGTCGACATTGATGTCACCGAGGAAGGTTGACGTGATAGTAGTGATGTCGATGGGCCTTTAGCGGAGCTTAATGGAGGCGATGATTGGAGCCGATGATGGTGTCGGGAGGTTTGAATGTATGAGGTTAGGAAGAAGAAAACGACTACCACCTTCTTCCACCTTATTGTTTTATCAAATATATTTTTAGAGCATTTTAGTCTTTTCACAGTGCTAATAAGGAGCTTAGCAGAGGTGAAGGTCCTAAAGACCATCCATGTTACCAAAACCCTCTACAGAGACCAAGGCATGGCAAAAAACCAATACTAGGACCATACTTTTGATGAACCATAGGGACAAAAATGTATTTTACTCTAACTAGTTTATATTGTTTTTGCTTTTTGCTAATATCCGATAAGAATTTTTTTTAAATATAAAATCTATTTCTTGTTTTGTAATCCCAACAGGGACAAATTTTAAATCTCAATTCATCTGAATTCAGTTTTATTTGAAAGATTCTAACTTCTTCAAAAAAAAAAAAAAAAAAAAAAAAACCACCCCCCCAACCCACTTTTTAAGATGTGTAGAAGGGCAGTGGTATAAACCATAGAAAAAGATTGAAAAAAAAAAAAGTTAGCACCAAAATGGCTTGGAAAATTCCGATCCATGTGACATATAGGTGGCCGACAAAACTAATTAAAGCACCCACGTGGCTTTTTATTATCTTTACGCGTACAAACAAAACACTTTAATCGTCTCGGACTTTTCTTTCTCGAATCTATAGCAGCTAGTAAGTAGACTAGACGTTCGTTGATTTTTCATGACTATTCCTGTAACGTAGTACACAACTACACATTGTTTATTTCTTCTATATCGACTCTCCAAGCATAGTTCCCACCGTAATAATTGAGGAATTATTGGAGTTATATTTTTAACGATAAATATACCCACCACATATTTGATGTTATGTCACAGTGAATACCAAGTACCAGAATTTAAGTATTTATGGGCATTAATTTACATGAATATATTTGTCATAATTCCTCGATCAGTTGGATGTCGATAATTCTTGATTGCAGTTTGAGACTTTTGGTTACTGTCCTTACACTCATCTCGTCTACACTTGTACTCTTTGAAGGAACTGGTATTCAAGCACAAGGCGGATATCTTCCTCCAGAAGAAGGCAAGTTCTCTTTCTGAAGTTTCATGTTATTCAACTCGTTTTTGTGTGTGAAGAAAAACAAACACTGAAACATACACCATTAAAAACGCCATGCACATGGGTTGCTGTCTTTTGATGTCTACTTAAAGTTTTTGTGTGAAATATTTGATATTATCTTGCAGTGGATGCTCTTCGTGAAATAGCAGAACAAGTGGGGTAAAAGGGATTGGAATTTTAGCCTGAACCCATGCGATGGGAATCCCAATTGGGCAACACCAAAGCGCATAGAAACGCCTCTCTATACCAACACTCTTAACTGTAGCTGCTCCTTTCCTAACAATGTTTGTCACGTTGTTTCCTTGTAAGAGCTATTTCATTTTTGTATTTACGGAGTGTTTGGCAAGAGTATTTGGGAGCTTCTAACTTGTAGCTTTTGACAAAACGTTTGATTTAAACAAAAAACTTTGTTTTCGGGTACGCTCTTTTGGCTTTTAGTTTAAATAAAATGTTTAAATCTAAAAGCTACTTGATGTAGTGTTTAAGAAAAAACTATTAATTTTTTTAATCAATTTTTAGAATTGTCCTTTTTATTTATTACCGTTTCACATTTAGCTTTTAGACAAATGCCCTTTTACGTAATTTTATATAGGGAAATCTCCGAAAAATCCTAATATTTTACCCTAATTTACGAAAAAAGTCTCAAACTAAAATTTGTTTACAAAAAAATCTCAATTACCGGTAAAAGTGACGATTTGACCCATTTTTCCCGGTTTATCAGTTTCATTATTTACCCGGGTTTTATTAAAGTCCATTATTTTACCATAATTTACGAATAAGTCCCAAATTATGGTAAAATAATGGGACTTTAATGAAACCGGGTAAGTATTGAAACCGATAAACCGGAAAAAAAAAATGGTCAAATCGTCATTTTTACCGGTACTTAGGACTTTTTCGTAAACAAATTTTAGTTTGGGATTTTTTTGTAAATAAGGGTGAAATATTAGGACTTTTCCGGAGATTTCCCTTTTATATATTTCAAAAGTTTCTGGTTACTTCTGTCAAATACTCATGTAATAAAAGTTTCAGCTTCTACTAGTTTTGCCAAACATGCCCTTAATCTACAAACCCGTGTGCATTAGTTTGGCCAACAATAATTACCTATGACATTGCTTTATAACATGCTCCTGGAAAAATATATTTGCACTTTACCTGTCACAAAAACATGCATCAAAGTTTATGATATAGCTAGCTACTCATGTTATTTTAGTCTACAATTATGAATTCATTTGACCTTAAAAGAATATTATTTTAGTCTACAATTATGAATTCATTTGCTTTATAACATGCTCCTGGAAAAATTTGCTAAAAGTTGAAGTAAATATGCAGTACAAAGAAGGCTTACGTAATTTTATATAGGGAAAGGAGACCCATTTCAAACGGCTATAACTTTTGATATGTTGGAAATTAAACGACTTGCCTTCTATGCCTGCCTCATCCATCGGAGCCAAATTTTTTGTTTTGATCCACTTAATTTCAGTGTCATTTAGCTTTTGAATTCTAAAACTCCAAATATTTTTTGTGTTATTACTTCCATTTTTCTTGAACCGGTGGACTAGAAGTTTGAAATTAGATTCATAGAGGCTTAAACCTATGACTGGAATTTGTAGTAAAATTAAAGAGATGGATTGATCTTTGATATTTGCTTTATAAATAGAAATCTCAAGGGGCAGGATCTTGATGGTATTCTTCCACGGTCCATGGCAAAGTTACCTTACATCAAGACCATGTAAGCCAAAGGCTTGTGTTTATACCATAACTCAAATTTTAAAAATTGATTTTAGATACCATGGTTTTAAGGCATCATTATGCGAATGATTGCTTCTTGCAGTGATCTGGCTCGTAATTATCTAAGTGAAACCATACCACGTGAATGGGCTTCAATGACCACGCTCGAGTTCTTGTGAGCTCTCTCTCTCTCTCTCTCTCTCTCTCTCTCTCTCTCTCTCTCTCCAGTTGATATTTATGATTCTCAGCCCTTAAAAATAGAAGCATCTGTGTCCTAGGTCTGTTTTCGTGAATCGATTGTCCGGAGGAATTCCAACATATTTGGGCAACATAACATCACTGCGATATATGTACGTACGTTCATTCACTCACTCTCTCTTTCTCTCTATCTCATACACACACACTCACTCTTAAGATAGTACTTGGATAAGTTGCACTACTGGAAAATGGCTAATGAAATACAATTGTGATCAATAATGGCAACTGTCCATTAGGAGGATGTTAAGGAAGAATTATATTTATATACATGGGGGGTCTAGAACTTCAAATAAGTTACTAAATGCTTTTATACCAGGAGTCTGGAGAGCAACATGTTCTCTGGAACTGTTCCACCTGAGCTTGGAAAACTAGAAAATTTAGCAACCCTGTACGTAAGCCTTCTTTGTACTGCATATTTACTTCAACTTTTCATGATTATACATAATGCCGTTATTGATAAAATATCTCTCTATAATGGTTTGTGCTTACATTAATATAGGGCCCTTAGCGCAAATAATCTATCTGGCGAGTTACCCGTGGAGCTCAATAACCTAACCAATTTGAAAGAACTGTAGGCAGACTCCATCCTTCCAATTTCCAAACTAATGCTTTAAATAGTTTGATTTGTCCAGCTATTGTTATGTTGTTTTCTTCCCCCACATAATATTCTAAATTAGTTATTACTACTTCTCACATTGTCAGCCGCCTAAGTAGCAACAACTTCACTGGAAAGCTCCCAAGCCTTGAGAGCTGGAGTCATCTTGAGAAACTGTAGGTCTATGGTCATTGGTCAGTATATATTTCAAATGTTTGTAAGTCTATTCCTTCTTATTTTGCTTCCCCCTCATTTTTTCTATTATCTATCCTCAGAGAGATCCAAGGTAGTGGTCTAGAAGGACCAATACCGGAAAGTCTTTCCTTCTTGAGCAATTTAACAGAACTGTAAGTTGATCATATACTCCCTTCATCAAGATTTTCAATTATTTCTATTCATGTAGTTATAAGTACTAATCTACATGTCTGTATGTACCTGTGTGCAGACGAATTTCTGATTTAAGTGGCGAGGGCTCACATTTTCCAAATTTGAGTAGGTTGACAAACATGAGTTTGTTGTAAGTGATTGTAGAATTTAGTAAAATTTTAACAAGTTCTTTAATTCAAAACTTGTATATTCAAGAATTTGAGTGATGTTGCAGGGTATTGCGAAGCTGTAACATAACTGGGATGATTCCAGATAATATATCAAATATGTCCCTGTTGAAGCATCTGTAAAAGTCCCTCCTCTTCCATTTCTGTTTCAGAACATAGTTTAGACCATATCCATGAGCAGTATCTTTTGTGTTTTAACATTATGATCTTATCTGGTTTATTGTTTAAATTTTCTGAATTATCACCTATATCTATATTCATATACTTACACAGAGATCTCAGTTTCAACAAGCTGAATGGTGATATACCAGACGTAAGTCGACTGAATCTGGAAAAAATGTAAGAAATATAATTGTGTATTTTTTCTCACTGTATAAATTAGCTTCAACTAAATATCTAAATTAATATTTTTCTTGAATATCAAATCATCTATATTTGCATCAGTAATCTACTCCTAGGTATATTTGAAAAAAAAAAAAAAGGACAACATATTCCTATTGTTCTGCAACGTAAAAACTAAAATAAACAAAGAATACCACTGTAAATGTGAACTAATATTTGGTGAAATGACTATAGGTATCTGACAGGTAACTCCCTAAATGGAAGTGTTCCTACGTGGATCAGAAATAAAGATGTTAAACTGTAAGTTAATTTTTTCGAGCTTCATTTCAGCATTACTTTTGTGTAATATGACAATGGTGCTCGTGAAGCTCAATATGATCTTGTTTATATGCAGTGCAGTAGATCTTTCCTACAACAACTTTAGTGAAAAAATTGTGCCATCACCATCAGTTTGTGTTGGAAATCTGTAAGTTTTTAGCGCTCAAATGCTCTTTTCATGTGCACATAAAAAGTTAAAAACTGAAGTTAAAAGTTCTCTTTCATTCATCAGGAACTTATATAGAAGCTACTCTAGTGGGAATAACTCGTAAGCTTAATTACACTCCACTATTATTCTTCGAATAGAGATGGATCTTTTATTTAATAATTAAGAAAGACACCGAGTTTCCCATATTTGATTTGGTGCAGAGACCTTGGAAAGTGTCTTAGCAGCCGTCCTTGCTTGCAGAGTGAGCAATATGCTTTCCAGTTTATAATGTTGTATGTGTTTCTATAAAAGTAAAAACAAAGCTGATTCTTCTATATATGTATCTGTAGACTACTCTTCAATCCATATCAATTGTGGTGGGCCAGAAGCTACCATTGGAAAAAAGACTTATCAAGCAGATGAGGATCCAGGTGGACCTGCAGAATTTGTTCCTTTTAACGATCATTGGGGATATAGCAGCACAGGAAGTGTATTGAATCTTAACGATGAAAAATATATTGCAACTAATGTATCTGTACTCACTATGAAAGACACTGAACTTTACACAAACGCTCGCCTCTCTCCATTGTCTCTTACTTACTATGGCCGTTGCTTACAAAATGGAAACTATACGGTTACTCTACATTTTGCAGAGATAATTTTCAGAAATAATCGATCTTACCAGAGTCTTGGAAGACGTGCTTTTGATGTTTATGTCCAGGTTGAAAACCCTAATTATTAAATCTCCCCTTCTTATAAACAAATAGACTTCATACTCAACATTGATGTATTTGGGAAAAGAGTTTCAATCATATATGTTTGTGAAAAGATTTCCATTTTACCTATTATTCAGACACACCTTTATTTTGTAAACCAAAAAGGATTCAATAAACACAAGAAAACAGCAGACTTGTGATTTTTTGGTATTTAATTTTCCTTTTTACTTTTTGCAGGAGGTAAATCAATTCAAGAACTTTGATATCAAGAATGAAGCTGGTGACGTTGATAAACCTAAAATAACCATAATAAAAAATATTCGTGTAACTAATGGAACATTAGAAATCCGGTTCCAGTATGCTGGGAAAGGTACAGCATTCGTTCCTGATAAGGGAGTGTTTGGGCCTCTGATATCTGCCATTTCTATGGAGTCCGGTATGCTTATTATCCACATGTTTTATATATTTCACTTTTCATTACAAAACATTCACTATGTGTATAATTGTCATTTATATTCCAATCTATTTATATTCTGTTTACGAGACTTACTATTATGTTCCTTTTCATAGAATTCAAGGTTCAAAATCATGGTAAAAACTATACATATGTTGCCATTGGAGTGGTGGCTGCAGTGTTGTGCCTCAGTCTCATAATTTTTGGCATCGCTTGGAAGATGGGTTATATAAGGAACAAAAACTCAAGAGAAAAAGGTATTTGATGATTACTCAATTTAAGAAAATTAAAGTTTATTTCACAGTCACATATATTTTCCTAGTTGAATATCCTAAGAACTTGCACCCTCCAAATAAAAAAAAGTAATACTTCGTTGTAGTTTTTGAAGTACATTTTTTTCATTGCTAAAATATTGTTTCCCTGCAGACCTAAGAGGATTGGATTTGCAGACTGGTGTATTTATATATAGACAAATCAAGGCTGCCACTGACAATTTTGCTGATTCAAATAAACTTGGCGAGGGAGGTTTTGGATCCGTCTACAAGGTAACATTGTAAATACATTAAATTTCATTTTTTAAAATTCACGTTGTAAAATCTACCAAACTTTAACTATGTAAAAGATAGAAGGTAAAAGATGAAAAAGAAGAATCATATTTAGGCGTCCCTACTAAACCTCAAATTCATGAATGGCAGGGTACACTATTAGATGGAACTCTAATCGCTGTGAAGCAACTCTCTTCCAAATCAAAGCAAGGAAATCGCGAATTTGTGAATGAAATAGGCATGATAGCCGGCATACAACACCCTAATGTTGTAAGGCTACATGGGTGTTGTGTGGAACGCAAGCAACTACTGCTTGTTTATGAGTACATGGAGAATAACTCTCTAGCACATGCTCTATTTGGTATTCTCCTTTTCTTTAACTTCTTAATAGCAACTCCCTCCACCCATAAGAATTTTGAAGTCTATATTTGACTTTGTGGATTAAAAATATCTGCTCATTAGTCGAAATTTTAAAATACTATTCAACGATGACCAAAACCAATATCGTCAATAAATAGTGATGATAAAATGAAACATATAGGTAGCTGTAATTTGAACAGTTTTGAAAGAAGGTAAGGTTACAACATACATGTAACATCTGAAAATGGAAATTGTGACGTCTTTTCATTCCACTAAGAGTTGGCTCTCCATTGAGAACAAATTTATTTATTTAAGATGCTTTAATAAAATCTCAGAGCAGTATAACTATAAGTTGGAAATTGAGTGGCCTACAAGACAAAGAATTTGTGTGGGCATTGCAAAAGGCCTGGCTTTCCTGCATGAGGAGTCGGTGTTAAGAATGGTTCATAGGGACATCAAGGCGACAAATATTCTCCTAGATGCTGACCTTACTCCAAAGATCTCAGATTTTGGTTTAGCAAGGCTTGATGAAGAAGAGAACACGCACATCACGAATAGAGTTGCCGGAACTATGTGAGCAATAGTCTCGTTGTCTTTTCTAATAATATCATGTTGCTTTTGTTAATTACTTTCAGTTTTCGTTTGTTCAATTTGCTTTTGGTACTTCAGAGGGTACATGGCACCAGAATATGCATTATGGGGATTCCTGACCTACAAAGTAGATGTATACAGTTTTGGGGTTCTTGCACTGGAAATCGTTACCGGAAAGGACAATATGAGATATACGCCACATGAAGATTGCTTTTGTCTTCTTGATTGGGTATGATACAACTAATTCTTTTAATATACAGTTTGATCCTCCACCACATTCCCAACATGCATCCACTGTCTTATCATATATATATATTTGTCCTTTCTAAGGCTGTGGTTCTGAAACAAAAGGGGAATTTGATAGACTTGGTGGACCCACGATTGGGTTTCGACTTCAACAAAAGAGAGGCACTGAGGATGATTGAAATTGCTCTATTATGCACTAATGAGTCCCCAACTCTTAGGCCTATCATGTCTAAAGTAGTTAATATGTTGGAAGGCCATACCGAAATTGAGGAACCAACTATGAATGTGATAACATCTAAAGACAAAGTCGGGTTTCAAGCACTTGCTGAGAAGTTTGAAGGGATGCAGTCACATGAGTTTGATCAAACAGATACATCTATTAATCCAACATCTTCCAGTTCAAATGACACCTATTTCGATAGTCAAATTTCTCAAACATATTGACTCGTTTCGCATAAGCACCTTTTGCAATGGAGTTGCTAGTATACTAGTCAAGTTCTGTACACTATTATAAATCAACCAGAATGTACTGGAAAATTCTACCAATAATTGTTAGAGAAAGACATTGAAGACAAAAGATTATTTTGATTGGTTCTATGTGCGGGAAACAAAAACTTCTATTAATTACACACTACCATACATTTAGTACGATACGTACACACATATATAAGGCAGCAACCAATGCAGCCTATTGAAGGAACCGATGTACCCTTTGAGAAAGACGCCCCTTCAAATCTTCAAGGCAGCTCTACAAAGTCACTGATTCAAAGCCTTGGTTCATACACTTAAATGACATATAGCTGCTATATAACAACTATACTTAATAGTTATTGATCTATTTTCCCTTGTCTAGCTTATATCTTTCAACATTCCCCCTTAAACTAGACTAGAAAATCGCCAAGCTTTTTCTTCAACTTATTGAGTCCAAACTTTTTCAATGAAGACATAAAGCCCAAAATCAAAAACCTTTAATGGTGATGCATTATATTCACTAACTACCAAGATGTTGGGGGTGCAAACCCAATCCCACATCAGTCAAAAGGGAAACCAGATGCTAGCATATAAGGCAATGATTAATCCTTTCTATTGCCAATTGGTTTTAGAAAATGGAACCTCGTTGTTATTATATGTTGAGCATGGTTGGGCTAATATCGGTCCTAAGAAGTGGTATTAAAGCTACGGTCGTAGCCCCGATGATGAGTGTGGTGCAGGTGGCACAATCCCTAATGGTCCCCAGTCTAATGACGTCGATCCTGAACCCTTGTATTGAAAGTCTTCTCGATGGCAACATGTGGCGTAATCCCCAATGGTCCCAGTCTAACGACGTTGATCCTAAAGCCTTGTATTGAAAGTCTTCCCGATGGCCATGTCAGGTGAGCTTGTTCCAAGAGTATATCAGCGATATGAAAAAGGATTGGATCAGATGAACAGTCCTTGGAAAGGAGGCTATATCGGTAAAAAGAGAAACCATATACTAGATATAAGGCAATGGGCAATCCCTTCTATTGCCAATTGGTTTTAGAAAAAGGAACCTCGTTGTTCTTATATGTTGATCATGGTTGGGCTAGTATCGATCCTAACACAAGAAATTCTCATGCTCCAATCTTCATTCAATCTTTTATAGTCCAGTTGTTAAACATGTGTACCATCTTTGTACCATACTTGAAACAAACATCATGCTTACCAAAATCTTTTCACTTAGCCTCAAACACAATGAATAAAAAGCCTTTTCCTTTTTTTTCTCTATAAAAAGAGGTTCAAACTTTCTTTCACACACAAATTAATTATATTGGGATTAATCTTAAACTTCATCCTCTATATAACTTTTGTTGCAACGAGGATGATAATAAAGGTTGTTATTTACTAAGAACTAAGCAATCCTTTTATTAATCCCACATGCAGACTTTTTTTTAAAAGCACCTCAATGGATACCTTCGATGATCTTATCAAGAACAATAGTGTAACCAAAGCATCATATAATCCGCCCAGTGAATTGCAAACCACACCCTTTGTAATTTTGTATCCAAAGGCTTTGATTTTTCCAGTTTCTCACACCCATGCTTGTACTTTTCCTTCATGGTTATCGCCATAACATGCACCGTATATAAAGCACTCTTAGGTGATTTGTCCACCAACATTTCATTTTATGAAAGTACTCTTAGGTGATTTATACACCAATAAGATGCCAACATCACCATGAAACCAAGATTTGTACCTATATTTTTATGCATCTTTATTTTATTAAAAAAAGTGTACCTTTATTTTATACGAGGTGTGTTGTCACAATCATCTTTGCAAAATTAATAACCCATCTTCTTTCCTTTCTTCTTGCAAGAACCCATGTGGAAGATGAACTTCTTACTCTTTGTAATATAATTAGTTTCATGTTGCTAGATCAACATACCACGTCGATATCACATGTCACATTAGCATCTTCTTTCCACACCTATCCATACCTGTTTCGAGACCCGTCCCGAAGTGACTAAGTTGCTTCTCATCGGCAATTCTAACAATGTGCCCATACTAGCACATGCCAACACTCTTCCTAGTTCACTAGGACTCCCACTCCACCCTGTTATCCTATTGGAAAGAAACTCCCATCAATGCCAATTAACGACCTCACAAATACTATTACATGAAACTAAAATTAAGCGGCTTTTTGACCAAGATATCCTACACTACAACGGCTGGACTCAAACAAGATCTACGCAATAAAGCTGAACCAAACAATCTAAGGCTACCTAATTCTAGGGGTATGCAACTTAATTTATTTTTCCAATAGTTAACCAATATTAATAAGAATTCCTAAAAGCACAAAGAAATTGGCAATTAAGTAGTACAACTAACAGGCCATTCTAGCACATATAACAATTTTATGTCGTAGAACAATAAATAAGATTTGAACACTTTCCCTTTTTCCTATGGCATTGAGTAACTGTATATAACGCACTTTCGATCACCTTTTCCAAACCGTTTCGTTTACTTTTATAAAATTTTATTTTTAAACATAACTCTCGAGCCGCGAACTTAATTTCAGAACTCACCAAAGTAAGATTGATTCTCTCAAGCTGTGCTCTGATCCCAACTTGTAACATCCCAAAATTTGCAATAAATTTTGAAAATTTAAAAAACAATATAAGTATATTCAAAACCATGACTTTTATTCAAAAAAAAGTTCAAACCTGAATCGAATGATCAAGGTAATTTCAAAAACCATTTGTTAGTTGTAAATTCCAAAAAAAAAAAAAAAAAAAACATAATCCAATGTAACATAAAACTCCAGCAATCCATCCCGAGCCGATGTGTATTGTCATGCCCTGCCATCCTGAGTACTTGCTGATCCTGAAACAATATTATTAAAGAAAAAGGGGTAAGCACAAAGCTTAATTAATTTCACACATACACAATATCATATCTTACAAGCTCTACCCCTAACATACATGTATCAACAACATTAGTCACACAACCATACACGCATCTAAAAGAACGAATAGGAAACAAACATACACATGTTGGGACACATTGGTTATGCCCAATCCCCCTTGCTCAGTATGTCAACCCCTTGGGACACATTGGTCAAGCCCGATCCCCCAAACCTAACCCTATTAGACACATCGACTATGCGTCGACCCCCCTTGCTCAGTGTGTCGACCCTTGGGACACATGGTCTATGTTCGATCCCTAACTAGACACTAACCCAACCTAACGCTACCCACATACACATCCTATAAGCACAAATGAGTTAAAGTAAAAGATGCACAACATCAATCATTATAGTGAGAAACTCACCTCGAGTATCATGGTGTGACCGTAGCCCGAAAACCCAATCACACCAAGTCACTTTTCCAAACTCCTAAGAATATAAATCTAGATTAAAATTGGCTACCATTCACCCTAAACATATAAGTAAACTACTAGATTAAATTTCCAGATTTTAACCCAAAACAACAGCCTGTTCAAGGCCACTTTAACACCACTACCAAAGCCCACCAAAGTTACAATATTTTTCCATATTCCATTAGTTCAGTCTCTTATATTTCTAGGAACTACTTGCACATGTCCATACAAAGTTTTCTACAATTTTCCATGGATTTTACAAAATTGCATATCAACACAGCTAATTCCGGACTAGCCTGTGAAAATAATGATTTTCACCTTAGTTAGAGCCAACATCAGGTTAAGGAAAAAATCAGGGGCATACTAGACTCAAGATCTGAACTTTAAGAACTGATGGATCCTATATCTGACTCCCGATTATTTTTCTAGGATTTTTACAAAACAGGAGCAGAATAGGTATTTTCCATAAATTCCTAACTTTTACTTATTGGGTTAATTTGGCATCTTAACCCAATAAGTCATCAACCATAGACTATTAATAATGGAAATTAAGTTCCTAATAGTAGCAATATCACATTAAGTCAAAAAGCCAATTAGAATCACAAACCCTAACTCCAAGTACATTATCAAATGTGAAAATCCAAAGTATGTTGCTATTATATAAGTTATGTACTTAGGGTTTTTAGGTTTCATCTTCTCAACACCCAAGCATATTATGGTAGTGGTGGCCGGAGGTGGCTTCCACCACCGTAACGGTGGTGGTGGTGGTGATTTTGACTAAGAAGAAGAAAAGGGAAAGGAGAAAACTACTAGAAGCATACCTCAAGTAGAAATTTGATCTAAGACAAGCCTACACAACATCCTACTCCACCCACTCCTGTCTTTTCCGGTGGCTATGAGATCAATACAGAGGCTGTGGCATTTTTCCGGCAGAATGGTGGTGGTAGCGACCTAGATTAACGGTAGCAAGGAAGAAGAGGGAGATGGGGATATCGATTAGGGTTTCTTCAGGGGAGTCTTGACTGCAATTGACTATGTAAGGGGAGGGAAAGAAATACCGTTGTTTTTCTCTAATACACGCACACACATGCACACTTTCCAACTATTGGCAAGAATAGTCCACCCACAAACGCCTTTCAACAAAAGTTTTAACTTGTCAAGTTTAGTCTTTAGGATCCATAATCTTCCTAAACAAGTTTCTATATGACACTCTTTGGTCTTTCAAACAATTTATTTTTTTATTTTAGGTTATTACTTTATTTATTAGTTATTATTGTACTACCAAAACAAATACCGAAAAAAAAGGTGTTACAACTTGTATCCTGCCATTTGAAGAAACATGTAAGAACAAATGTAAAGATTTGAACTTTTTTAATATAACTCAAAGAAGATAGATATCAAAGCCCTTTGTAGATACAACACTGTTAGAACTAGAATTTACCCATGAATTCAGACCAGAGACCTATAGATAAGCTTGATCAGAAAGTAATAGACTAATGCATATAAGAAATGGTTAACAAAGGTAGAAGACTGACACACATATAATTTGAGAAACACCTATAAACTTGTTCGTATTCCATGTGTCTTCGTTCTTCATTAATGCAAAATGAATGATAAAAAACAAAATATAATCCAGATCTTGTTCAGTGGGAAATAGATTTTGGGGATTAACATACTTTATAAGCACCGACACAACATGTATTGTACCACCAACATTTGATGGAGTTAGTATCGGAACCGGAACATTGTAGAATAACCTTAAAAACCATAAACCCTAACACTTTTTCTTAACTAAATTGAGAACTTTCATGAAAACTGAAACATACACAGACTATGTAGCAAAAAACTAAAGAAAATGGATAATAATTTAGTAGGCAAATGTTTGCCTTCCATGTCAAACAGTGAGATTCCATTCGGGTTTTCAAGTACCTTACAATCATCACCACTATTCATCTCATCATCACGAGGTTTAAAAGGCTTGGAAGTCAAACGTAAATGAAATTGAGAGAGAAACACGGTTATCACGAAGCTTCAAGTAGTGTGCGGAGGGCTGAAATTCCACTCACAGAATAAGACAATGTAAAATCAAAGTATGTTGTAACAACCCGTTACTTTCCAGGTCAACAAAAGTCAAACCCGTTAAATAAAATTTGAAGTTTTATTTATTCCGTTAAGTTCGTGAGAGTTGGAAAATAATCTAAAATATATAAATTAAGTTTATATAAATCGGAACCTAAAATACTCTAAAAACAAAGATTTTCCTCGAATCAACGAAAAACACGTTCAGCCTCCTGTTTTCGGTCGAAAACCTTCGGACCGAAACAAATTTCGGCCGAAAACTCCTTTCCGGCCGAAAACTCAACCGGTATAAAGGTTTTTCCCACGAAAACTAGATCATTTCTCACTCATTCACACGAAAACTCTCTCATTTTGCTCCCAATGATCATCCAAGAACACTCATATCTTCAAGTGGAAACCTTCAAATCTTCATATTTTCACCAAGAACACCAAGAACATTCTTCAAACCTTCAAGTGACCAAAAACAGCAGCAGAACCGAAAACCTGTGTTCGGCCGAAAACTCATCAAACCGAAAACCTGTGTTCGGCCGAAAACTCATCAAACCGAGAACCTGGTTTTCGGTTGAGCCTTGACCGAAAACCCTCCCATTCACTTCAAACAATTCTCGGTAACTATTCCTAACACAAAAACAAGTGTTTTCTAACACTTTAATTAATGGTTTCACTAATTTAAATACAATTATGTGTTTAAATATTATTAGGATACCGTTAGTTTCGCGTACACCAACTCGAGGGTCAACTCTTCAAGTCTCGCCATCCAGTCACGAGCACATACCAAAAGTGAGTTCATACCCCTATATTTCACTGTTTTCTAATGTTTTAGGGGGAGGGGGATACAAGTAAAATACAAGGACTTTTG